GGGGTTTCACCATGTTGACCTGGATGGTCTCGATCTCTTGACCTCGTGATCCACCCGCCTCGGCCTCCCAAAGTGCTGGGATTACAGACTTGAGCCACCGCGCCCGGCGAAACCACTTTTAAAACAGGTCGATGGCAAAGAACACTGAATTGGGAGTGAAGAGAACTTGAACTCAGAGCCTTCAATGAGAGAGATGACAAACCCCCCACAGCCTTCGCTCTCCAAACTGACAATTCCCCTACGTGGGGTTCAGGCTTTTCTTCCCTGTTGGTTGCATTGCAGACCCCAGGATGTTCTGATGATGATCCGTGAGGGCTGGAGGGGTCCATGGTTGTGAAAGTGATGGCACTTTCATGGCTTTCTGTGAAGTCCCAGAGGTTATGGAGGGCTTTTGCAAGTCATTGTCAATCAGGGCTGAATGGTTAGTATTTCAGCCTCTGAAGCCTCTGCTGTCTTTGTTCAAATCCTGCTCTCATCACTTGCTAGCTCTATGACCTTTGTGCTTCCCTCTCTTCCTCTGTAAAATGGGTACTGTCTTGGAAGTATGGTGAGGATTAAATGAGAAAATAAAATCACTGAGGGCTTAGCATAGAGCCTGGTACCAAGAAATGTTTTGTAAATATTAGCCGCTTCCATAATTATTATTTTTTATTATTAGAAGGTTGAGTGGAGGTAAAAGTCCCTTCCCTCCTGCCAATTTGTAAGAGTACCACCTAAACTTGATAGAGGTGCTTCCTTGGCTAAGTGGAGTGCTGGCTTTGTTTCTCTGTCCACTGTCTTCCAAATTGGCCATCAGTCTCTTCCAAACCGCCTAAATGAGGCAAAGCCTCCTCTCTCCTATTTATATTATAAATCTCTTCCTTCCATGCAGGGGAAGCAGAGAGCACATATTAAACTGCACTTAAGATTGTCAGCGTTGCTCAGAGTAGAGGGTGGGTGTTTCTTAGTGAGTAGAGATTAATCTTCCAGATCAACTTAGAGTTGGTTTTTTTCTTTTTCTTTCTTTCTCTCTCTCTTTTTTTTTAATTTGAGACAAACTTTCACTCTTGTTGCCCAGGCTGGAGTACAGTTGTGCAATCTCAGCTCACTGCAACCTCTGCCTCCTGGGTTCAAGCGATTCTCCTGCCTCGGCTTCCCGAGTAGCTGGGATTACAGGTGCCTGCCACCATGCCCGGCTACTTTTTGTATTTTTAGTAGAGAAGAAGTTTCACCATGTTGGCCAGGCTGGTCTCTTAACTCCTGACCTCGTGATTTACCCACCTTGGCCTCCCAAAGTGCTGGGATTACAGGCGTGAGCCACCGTGCCTGGCTGGTTTTTCTTTTTCTTTCTTTTTTTCTCTCTCTTTCTCTCCCAGTTTTTCTTTTTCTTTTCTTTCTTTCTTTCTTTCTCCTTTCCTCCCTCCCTCCCTGGCTCTGTCGCCCAGGCTAGAGTGCAGTGGTGTGATTTTGGGTCACTGAAATCTCTGCCTCCTGAGTTCAAGCAACTCTCCTGCCTCAGCCCCCCAAGTAGCAGGGATTACAGGCACCTGCCACCATGCCCAGCTAATTTTTGTATTTTTAGTAGAGATGGGGTTTTATCCTGTTGGTCGGGCTGGTCTCAAACTCCTGACCTCAAGTGATCCGCCTGCCTTGACCTCCAAAATGTTGGGATTACAAGCGCCTGGATTTATTTCTTTTCTTTTCTTTCTTTCGAGACATCATTTAGCTGTGCTGAGGGCTTATTCAATAGACAGCTCAGAAAACTGTATTTCTTTGTCAGACAAATTCAGCAGAGACTCTTAGAGGGCCCTTCTGTGGAGGGTCCCTGCTGGTGTGGGGTGAGGCCAGCAGTGGAACTCTGATTTGGTTTTTGCTGAGCTGGTGGTCAAAAGGAATCCTACTGCATTAGGGTTATGATAGGAAAAACACATTTTAGAATATGCCCAGTGGAGCCATCAGATGCTGCTTCGTCCCCAGAGAGCCGAGTCATCGTGGGCCAAGCTCCCATCCCCATGTCTGGCCTCAGCTGCAGGCCCAGATGTTGACAGCTGCCTCTGGAGGGTTATGGGAGCTTGCAAATGCCAACATCCCCATTGCCTGTGGCTGTTTCCATCCTGGCTTCCTGGTGGGACTTTTCCAGGAACTGGGGAATCTGCCTTCTGATTCCAAGGCCCATTAAATGAGCATTGCCTATTTCTTTTTCTTTATCTATAGGAAATGTGGCTGTTTTTAGAGAACCTCACAAATTAAAAAAGAAAAGAGAGAGTGAATCTGCTTAAGGGAAGGGCGTATTTTACTTTCTTCCACAGCACAGCCAGACCCAATCCTGATCCTGAGAGACAAAACCCCACTATATGGGGCAATAGAAGCTTCAAACTGTTGCCTACTTTGTGTTGGCAGGACCCTGAATATTCCTGACAGGGGTTTTTGGAACAAGGGAATCATGTCGTCACCGTCCATGGGTGAGGGTTCTGGCTGGTGCCGGAGAACCTTATCCACGGCATTTTTTATTCTTAGGCCAAGTCACAGCTTTTCCTCCAGGCAAAGTCCTCAGTGCTGGACCTCGGGCTCCTAACCCTGGCCTCTTGCCCAAACGTACTTACTCTGGAAGCAAGGCCTTGGAACCCCCTATTGAGAATAAATGGGCAGGCTGAGGTAGCATTCCCTGGAGTTCCTACCCTGTCATCAGCCTGATCCTTGGAAAAACTCCTGTCCATAGATGGCTTACTTGCATTCCCTCTCTCCAGCCCTGACCACAGGATCTCCACGGGAGGCTGCTTTGGCAAGTGGCTACTCTTTGGTGGCAGAGCTGCCAGACACTTAAGGCAAACTCTGCCACGAGGAAGTCTCCCATTCCAAGGTGATACTCTGGTTTCATCTGAAGAGTACACGGGGGGCAGGCACTGCCACTATTTAGACTTACTCCAAGGCAGGAAAAACAAAGTGTGTTAAAGAAATACCAGCATCTGGCCAAGCGCGGCGGCTCAAGCCTGTAATCCCAGCACTTTGGGAGGCCGAGGCGGGTGGATCACGAGGTCAAGAGATCGAGACCATCCTGGTCAACATGGTGAAACCCCGTCTCTACTAAAAATACAAAAAAATTAGCTGGGCATGGTGGCTCATGCCTGTAATCCCAGCTACTCAGGAGGTTGAGGCAGGAGAATTGCCTGAACCCAGGAGGCGGAGGTTGCGGTGAGCCGAGATCGCGCCGTTGCACTCCAGCCTGGGTAACAAGAGCGAAACTCCGTCTCAAAAAAAAAAAAAAAAAAAAAAAGAAATACTAGCATCTTTTTAAGTAGGTTGGGCCATGGGAGCAAAGCCAATAGTTGATGCCCTTTGTGAATGGGAAGTATCAGTTGACTGAGCATTGAACTTTGCAGAAAAGACTGGGTGCTTTTTGCATTTAGCAGGGTAGGTGATAAACATACTGGAGCCCCGTGGATAGCCCCCTTTTAATCCCCTTCATAAACTTTTATCTAGAGCTAGCTCTTTATTTTACACAGGTTCTAGATAAACCTAACAGCAGAGGGTGCAGAATCAGCTCTCCTCATTAGAACACCATTAGCATCCTGATGCAAATTTTAATAAATGCAAGTGTTTACTAAAACCCCACCTCATAATATATCAATCCAATGGTCTTTTTTTGGTTTTGTTTTAAAGACTTGTCTTTCTCTTCTACCCTCCCTCCCCATTCCCTGGGGTTCTTAAGGTTGGGGTAGAATCTTCCCAGAGTGTAATCTTTCCCTTGGATTCCAAATTGTGTCCCCTTGAGCAGAGGTCTTGGCCTTCTGCTGCTATTTCTTTAAATTGATCTCCAGCAGAATTCCAAATGTAAAGGTCAGTAGGCAAGGAAATGGCACTTCTAATAGAAAACAATGTGCACTTTCTAAATTTGAACCAAGCCATTTCCGCTCTTTGATTTAAGTGACTTCCTGGGGTTCCGTGTCAGGCACTGCAGTTGAATCTCTGGCTGGATTCCAACTTAAAATTGCACTCTCTCGGTGAAATTAGAAACTGATCCAGGGTTGGCTTAGCTATTCTAGTAAATAGCATTTAGGCTGAATATTCAGCTCAGCACTTGGAAATGGGTGATGTGAGTGCCCCTTTAGAGGATTTCCCATCCAAGTTGTCAGAAGCTCACATACCTAGGGATTATTAGCCACTGCAGGTTGCTGCTCTTAAGAAGTGGTAGTAATAAGTTAATATCCTGCATGTGCAGGCTTTAGATACAGTCCTTCCTTCTCTTGTGAATATCTGGAAGAAGGGCTTGTTTATCCAGCTGATAAACTCCATGGGAGCACCAGAGCTGTGTGTTGAGTTCACCACATTGTCCCCAGCACCTGGCACAATGCTTGGCATGCAGTGCTTATAAGTGTTCAGGAGAGCTAAACTTATTTCCTGGGACAGTGATAACTTGTTGTTGCATGCCAGTTAATATGCTAGGTAATAGATATGCATTGTCTCATTTAATCCTCACAAGAACCCATTTTACAGATGACAAAATCCAAACCTAAGGCATAGAGATGAAAGAACCTCATTCATAGCAATATCACTAGGCAAAAGTGAGAATCAAATTTGAGTCTGGTTCCAGATACCCTGTGTTTACGTCCACTGAGCTGTGTATCTTAAATAAGGAGCATGTTTCACAGTGACTCAGAGAACGAACTCAGGCTGCCCAGGTTTGAGGCTTGCTACTGTTAGTTTTGGATAGCTTTGTGTGACTTTGGACAAATTAATTTGAACATGTCTTTGCTGTAAATAGCAAAGGGATAATAGTAGTTACGTTTTAGGATTATCATGAAGTCAGTGATGTATATGGTGCTTAGGAGAGTACTCAGTGTTATTTCCACCACTGACTTCTTGTCGTTATTAACCATCTAAGTTTGGGGAGTCAGTGGAAAGTCCACAGAGGGGATTCAGTTGGGTGGTTCTCATGGACCTGATGGGGGGTGAGGTATTGGCAGGCCTCATACTGATGCCTGGAATCCATTCTCTCTTCCTTTTCCCCACCCCACCCCCAGGGCCCCTAGAAGCCTGTTTCTCCATACAGTCCAGGACCTCCAGCCCCATGGAGCCCCCGATCCCACAGAGCGCCCCCTTGACTCCCAGCTCAGTCATGGTCCAGCCCCTTCTTGATAGCCGGATGTCCCACACCCGGCTCCAGCACCCACTCACCATCCTACCCATTGACCAGATGAAGACTAGCCACGTGGAGAATGACTACATAGACAACCCTGGCCTGGCCCCCACCACTGGCCCAAAGCGAACCCGGGGCGGGGCCCCAGAGCTGGCGCCGACGCCCGCGCGCTGTGACCAGGACGTCACCCACCACTGGATCTCCTTCAGTGGGCGCCCCAGCTCTGTGAGCAGCAGCAGCAGCACATCCTCCGACCAGCGGCTCTTAGACCACATGGCACCACCACCCGTGGCCGACCAGGCCTCGCCAAGAGCTGTGCGCATCCAGCCCAAGGTGGTCCACTGCAAGCCGCTGGACATCAAGGGCCCGGCGGTCCCACCCGAGCTGGACAAGCACTTCTTGCTGTGCGAGGCCTGTGGGAAGTGTAAGTGCAAGGAGTGTGCGTCGCCCCGGACGTTGCCCTCCTGCTGGGTCTGCAACCAGGAGTGCCTGTGCTCAGCCCAGACCCTGGTCAACTACGGCACGTGCATGTGTCTGGTGCAGGGCATCTTCTACCACTGCACGAACGAGGACGATGAGGGCTCCTGTGCTGACCACCCCTGCTCCTGCTCCCGCTCCAACTGCTGCGCCCGCTGGTCCTTCATGGGTGCTCTCTCCGTGGTGCTGCCCTGCCTGCTCTGCTACCTGCCTGCCACCGGCTGCGTGAAGCTGGCCCAGCGCGGCTACGACCGTCTGCGCCGCCCTGGTTGCCGCTGCAAGCACACAAACAGCGTCATCTGCAAAGCAGCCAGTGGGGATGCCAAGACCAGCAGGCCCGACAAGCCTTTCTGACGGTTTGTGTCGAAGCCCCAGTGCTCCTCCTGGAAATCTGGTTCTCTTCTGACATCTGAGAAGACTGCAGCAAGCTCAGAGGTTTTAGCCTCCTGAGGCTGACCTTGCTAGTCTACCCACTCCCCACCCCCAGCTTCGGAAGATACAGAGACCACCGCCTACCCTGTCTTCCCCAAGACGATGAAGAAGCACTTTGGGGATTTTTTTCAGGGTCCTGGAACTTTGTGTCAAACAGACAATGCAGGGGGCAGGGTGTGGTTTGCGGCGGGTGGGGGGGGATTTTTCTTTTTCAGAAGACGGAACACAGATGTGGACACATATCCGGAAGCTGCAGCTGCTTGAATGCCTTCCCAGCCCCTCCTTCTTCGTCCCCTCCTCCCTCCCTCTCTCTTTCCCTCTTCCTCTTTTCCATCGTCTTTGGCTCTCACAGGAGCTGGCTGCTTGGGAGGAATTATTAACTGAGTACCAGGGTACCTTTAAAGAAGACCCTTGGAGTCTTCTATACCTTCTTCTCCTCCCCCACCTCACTGTACCCCACTCTATTCCTGATGTCTTGGGGAAGGTATAGAACACCCTAGCAGTTCCTATTGTATATACTTGGGAGCCCACTGAGAACAGAGGACGGCCAGTGAGTCCAAGCCTCGTTCTTCTGCCTCCCCGGAGCAACAGGACGGATTTAGGAGCCACTGCTCAGTGCACTTCTCCCTAACAACGCATCAACTAACTCTTGGGGTGTTCCGCTCACCACACCGTCCTTCGGTTCTCACCGAGTCACAGACTCGCCTGCCCACTACATGTCCTGGGTTCTCTCTACTCAGATCCCTTCCAGAAACTTTATATGGGTAGACGAAGCCAGGGCGGCAAAAGCGAGACCAAATATCATTTTGCCAATGAGTCTGAGGCTGTGGTCTCTGGATCCAGTCATTATGTTTTTATAGAATAATTAAACCAGATGCTAACGGTGTTTTAAAAAAATAATAATAAAACAACTTGCTTCCTTTTGGGCCACCCCCAGGAAGGGCTGATTTCAAAATCTGGGGGCGAGCAACCTCAAGGAACACAATTTCCCTCCCCACCAAGAAGAGGATTTTAACAGCAAAGAAGAGAGGCAGCACCTCCCATTGGCAGAATGGCCACTGAGCCAGGCTGGGTTTGGGTTCCTTCTCTTCTGATTCTGCTGCTCACTGTCATAGCCTTTTGTGTATAGTGATGTGTCTGTATCTTTCCTGTAAATAGAGAGATGATGAAAAAAGAGTCTATTTTAGTGTTAGGAAGCCCCAGCAGGGGAGTCGGAAGAGCTTGGAAGAGCTCAAGAGAGGGTAGGGGAAAGGTTTTTCCTGGGGCCACTGGGTTTGAGCCCTGCTTTTGTGCACAGCCACACCGCCCTCTCCCGACAGCCCTCAAAGACTGTAGCAACTCTTTCTCTCAAGGTGCTAAAGGACTCAGAAGGTGCAGCACGTCCAGTGGGTAGGTACTTGTTGCATGCAAAAGCTGTAGTGTATCTGGTCCTTCCTCCCCAGCTGTTGTGTGGGGTTTTTGCTTTGTGTGGTATTTCGTTTTTCCCTCTAATGAGAGGGCATGGCCCGAGTCAGAAGAGCTACCACCCCAGGTGAAACTGGAAGCGCATGAGGCAGAGCGTCCGTAGCATTTCCAGTTTGTTCTGTAGGAACAGAGGTACCTCCAGGAAGGAGGCCACGAGGTAGGTAGCTGTGATAGGCTTGCACCGAATGCTTCTCAAGGACTTTTTTTTCCTTCTTGAAGACTAGTAGTAACATCTTATGATTTAGAGTAAGTTAATTGTAACCTTAGGTATTTATTGATTGGAGGAAGGGAGGGTCATATTATTCGACTTTATTTATGTAGCATTTGCTAGCTTGTACAAGGCGAATGTGAAATATTGCATCTGCAGTTTCCAAGGCTGATTCATGTAGCTACCTTGCCACACGTTGTGATGGATGTATGGATGTTCTTGAACATTTCAGAGGGAGTGGTAGAAAACAAGACACATTTTCAGCCAACCACTTAAACATGAATTGAATGTATTAGAAGTGTACTGAAGGGACTGGAGATGTTTCCCTCAGATGAGGTGGCCCCAAAATCGATAGCACACATGTGCACGCCTTCTGTGAGGCCTCAGAACTTTTCCGAGGGCCCCTCCCTCAAATTCTCTCCATGGGAAACTTGACCCAGTGGCAAGTTGCACTTTGGTGATCTTGATGGTCTACACACCCGTTCTGTGGAGAGTCGATTTACATAAGCTGTGTACACACACACACACACACCCCACACTGTCTACTGACAGAGACCCTATTTCTGGCGAACGGCCTCCTGAACCCTGACTTTTTGTGTACATACTTGTAAACACGGATTTTTCTGGGTTTGGGTTTGCTTTTTCCTTTCTTCCCCTGCCCCTGTTATAGATTGTTCTTGGTTTGCTTTCAGCCTGCTTGATGGATGTCTGCAGAGCGCTCTCTGAGTTCACTTCAGTGCCCCGTGTGCTCTGTGGTCATGGGAAGGAGCGAAGGAACCATCCTTGGTTCTCCCAGCTTGGCTGTGTAGCAGTCCCTCAGTATTGTTTTTCTCAGCTACTTGGCAAGAATTTAAACACACACACACACACACACACACACACACACACACAGAGAGAGAAGAATAAAGCTGGCTTGCCTGTGGACCCTCGGGCCAGTTGAGGGCCACTGAGAGACCCAGCACTCAGAAACACAACACACGTGTGTAGCTGCTTCTGGCTGAGTGTATTTCCTGTCACCAATGGCCTGTTCAGCTGGACGATGTCTCGGCTTGACCTTTATTGAAGAGTGCTGGTTGGTTCTCACCCCTGTTAAACCTGGGGTGGGTGGGGGTTCTGCCTTAACTCGAGGGGCAGCTGGGATCCAGGACCCTTCTCCTAGGGGGCTTTGGCTGCCTGTGTCTATGAAGGACAGCGCTCCAGCAAGCACCCTGGGAACTTTGCTTGGGTAGCAAAGCCCCCCAGATAAAAAGATGGGCACAGCTAAGGCTTTCCCAAGCAGGAAGGAGGTGAAGACCAATCCCTTCCTTTGGTTCACACCCCCTCACCGCTGAGATGGAAGACCTTGTAGGACATGGCTGGTTCTTTCAGCCTTGTGGAATCTGTCAATCACCATCATACCTCCAGTGAGGCCCGGCTAGATAATGATTTGTCTGAGATGGCACACGTGGAGAGTGATCTGCACCAGAACCCGGATGACTGTCACCTTGAATCGTCCTGTTCTCCTTCCCTGCTGTCCCAGGAAGTGTCTGGCGGGCGTGTGCAGCGCGGCTCTACACTGTACAATTCACTGGGGCATCCCGCGAGCCTCACCAGCCTTCTGGTTCATGCCTTTGACAAGCATTTTCATGCCCTCTCTGCTTACTGTGACAGTTGATGATGAATCTTGCGTTGCCATTTTCTGCTGTGGGTAACTGCGTGCGGTGTCTTGCCTTGCTTTCTCTTCTCACTGTCCCACAGCTTGGTTTCATGTTACAAACAGAAAAACTGTTCAAGGCTCCCACCCCGCCACATCCCGACTTCATTTCCCTCTTCACCATAGCCCACCTTCGCCCCACCACAAAGTTACCACAGAAGGTTTTCTTTGTATAGAATATTTATTTTGAAGCTCTATTTTAATAGTATTTATTTTAGAAAGTCTACTATTGTAAGAGTTCTTCTGTTTGTGAAGAAAAAAAGTTAAAAACTGAATGTACTGATTTAGAAAATATATATAAATATATATTGTTAAATATACATGAGACTGCCGTTTGTGGTGTTTTTGTGTGCCCACTTCCCTGACCTCTTCACCCAGCAAGGCCTCAGGTTTGTCTGAGAATAAGCACTGGATGGAAGGAGTTAGTAAAGAAGAGAAGATCCCTATCTTCCCAGGCTGGGGAGTCCCTTCTAGGACCATTGGAGAAAAGCTGCTGATCATTATGAAGCCGAATACTGCCAGGAGCTGCTAAAGCCTCCTTCCTAGGAGGCAAGCTGTCCCCAAAACGAGTGTGTGTACCGCTGACGGAGAGCAAAGCTAAACTGGGAAGAGGTAGGGGGGAAAGGGGTCATCTGACCTGTCCCTCTCCCTTTATGTCCTGATTGCCCCCAAAACAGGTTTTCACACACATGAACACATACATGCTCCAAGGAACCAAACAGAAAAGACCTTGGTCATTTCCTTATTTTATGGGATATTGGCGGATATTGCACAAAAGTAGTCCCTTTGACCTCGGAAGCCTTCCATCCGTTTTATGACCACCTAAAGCACCTTCTGTTTTTTTGGTTTGGTTCGTTTTGAGACAGTCTTGCTCTGTCACCCAGGCTAGAGTGCAGTGGTGCAATCTCGGCTCACTGCAATCTCATGGGTTCAAGCAATTCTCAGGTTTTAGCCTTCCAAGTAGCTAGGATTATAGGCATGCACCACCATGTCCTGCTAATTTTCTGTATTTTTAGTAGAGACAGAGTTTCACCATGTTGGCCAGGCTGGGCTCAAGCTCCTAAACTCAAGTGATCTGCCTGCCTCTGCCTCCCAAAAAGTACTGGGATTACCAGGTAGGAGCCACCACACCCAACCAGCACCTTCCTTCTGATTCCCTTGTGCAACGCGCACACCACCCCTCCACCCTGCCCCACCACCAGTGCACTCAGACTTACTAGAGACCCAGCCACCTCAATTTACATAGGTATGGAAACTTCGATGACCTTTTATGCATTTGCCAATCATGATGAAAGTTGGACTTTATTTTGAACATGTGAATACATGCCTCTTGTTTTCTAGAAATTAGTAGAGTTTTTTTTCTAATACCAACAAGTGGGAGGAGATGACCAATGAAAAGGGATCGGGGAAGAAAGGAGAGTTGGGGGAGACGGATCAGGAACTGTGGGTCACCAGTTATAGCCTCTCAGGATTCTTTGTGAAATCCAAACTTTGATTGAGTTCCCCTTGCAGACATCCAAATGCGTGCCAGGATCCCCAGGCACTGCCCAAGAAGGCACAAAGATGTTCTTCAACATGTTCTGCTCTAGAACTTTTAGAATAAAGATAGGGGCTGACCTCTCTCTCTGTGGCCAGACCATGTGGCCTGTCCCATTCCTGCAGTGTGGACCAAGGTTAACATTCCAAGTCCAGCTTCACTGACAAGATAAGTCACTGGCACTTAGAAATAATAGTCTTTTAAATTGGCTCAGTCCCAGTTCGTGTGTATCACACTTTGATTCAGTCTTGGGTTTGCTTATGGGTCGGCACATGGGGCAGGCCTGCCCCTGGTTCTACTTTAACAATTTCTAGTGCTTGGAGATTAAAAACAATGACAAGGGCTGGGTGAGGTGGTTCACGTGTGTAATCCCAGCACTTTGGAAGGCTGAGGCTGGCGGATTACGAGGTCAGAAGTTCAAGACCAGCCTGACCAATATGGTGAAACACCGTCTCTACCAAAAATACAAAAAGAAAATTAGCCAGGTATGGTGATGCATGCCTGTAATCCCAGCTACCTGGGAGGCTGGGGCAGGAGAATCACTTGAACCCGGGAGGTAGAGGTTGCAATGAGCCAATACCATGCCATTGCACTTCAGCCTGGGCCATAGAGCGAGACTCTGCCTCAAGAAAAAGCAAAATGAGCCGGGCGCGGTGGCTCACGCCTGTAATCCCAGCACTTTGGGAGGCCGAGGCGGGCGGATCACAAGGTCAAGAGATCGAGACCATCCTGGTCAACATGGTGAAACCCTGTCTCTACTAAAAATACGAAAAATTAGCTGGGCATGGTGGCGTGTGCCTGTCATCCCAGCTACTCAGGAGGCTGAGGCAGGAGAATTGCTTGAACCCAGGAGGCGGAGGTTGCGGTGAGCCGAGATCGCACCATTGCACTCTAGCCTGGGTAACAAGAGCGGAACTCCGTCTCAAAAAAAAAGAAAAAGAAAAAGAAAAATGAAAAAAAAAAAAAAAAATGACAAAAACCTACACCAGGGTTTGAGTGCTGAACGTCTCAGCCACCCCAATGCTCTTGGGGAAACGGGAGCCGAACAGTATCCAGAGAAATAGTTCCACATGCGCCCCTCTTGTCTATCCCTCTGGCCTTGTGCTTTTGGTTCCAGTTATATATACAATGGCTTTGGGGTAGTAATCACGGCCAGCATTTATAGAATGGCTTCTTTTCTCCAGGTACTGACCATGCATGGCAGACGTCATTCTTTCCCTCTTAGAGATGCAGACCCTGAGGCTCAGAGAATTGTCCCATACTCAGTATGAGATGGAGGGGTAGAGGGTAAAAACAGATCAACTGAAGGATGTAGCATTTGGAGAAGAAGGAAGAAGCCCAGAATGGAGTAGATCAAAGGCTCCCCAGTGACTGAATTCAAATTTAAGCAGAAAGAAGCAGAATTCAGCCCTCTCTACACCCGTAACCACACAGCTCCTATGAAGGAATCAAGCCTGATGCTCATCCCAACAAAAAGGAATGGTCTGGAGACAGTGGGGTGTGTGGGTGGGTTGGGGGGCAGCGAGAACCCCCCGACAGCCTCATCATCTGGCCAGGAGTTTCCTGCTCCCTCCTACAGCCCTCCAGACAGCCCTTCCCACTTGCAGAACCTGCAGCTTGAAGTGAGCTCCACTTTCCAAAGTACCTTTGTAAACCACCAATCACACAAACCCAGGCGGCCAGCTCCATGCTGGAGGTGTGTGCCAGATGAAAGCCAAGAGGACATTTTTAAGAGCCTTAAGTTTATTCATCGGAACTTTAATAAAACAATATGTCCATGGCCTAGGGCAGGTATAATTTTCATAATTTATGGGTCTGTGAGACAGGAAGAGAGCTTGGAGTTTTATTGTGTTTTGCACGATAAATGGCATTCCAATTGTCTACATGATGTTCTTTAAGGACTCTTGTCTGGCAGGAACACAGGCCTTCTGGAGCCCACCTGGGCCTCAAGGCCTGAGGCAAGGGATAATTATGAATACATCTGTATGTGTTAAGCAGGAGATGATTGAAAAACTCCCTCTGTTCCTTCTGTCATTAGAAGACACTTCCTATGCTGACACCTATATTAACATTTAACTGTTACAAGGGTTGGAACGCTTCCTGTTCCCCTTCCTCTCCCACCTTCTCCCTTGGGCCTGCCCTTTTCTTTCCTGTAACTGAAGAGACTCAGGTAAATTTCTCTTGATTGGCTTCCCTCCCACTGGGCATGGTGGAGGGGGTACTTGGGACTCTGAACCAAAACAAACCAACCAACAAACAAAAAATACCACAATCCACAGGACAAGACAGTGGATTTCCAGGTAATGTGGTTTTTTGTTGTTTGGCTTTTTTTGTTGTTGGTATTGTTTTGTTTTGTTTTTTGGTTTTCGTTTTGGTTTTGAGACAGGATCTCACTCTGTTATCTAGGCTGGACTGCAGTGGCATGATCTTGGCTCATTGCAGGCCCCGACCTCCTAGACTCGGGATCCTCTCACCTCAGCCTCCTGAGTAGTTGGGACTACAGGCATGTACCACCACACCCAGCTAAATTTTTTTGTTGTTTTTTTTTTTTTGCAGAGACAGGGATCTCATTATATTGCCAAGGCTGGTCTTGAATTGCTGGTCTCGAACTCCTGATCTCAAGCAGTCCTCCCATCTTGGTCTCCCAGAGTATTAGGATTATAGCTATGAGACGCTGTTCCCCACCTGGGTGATATTCTAATTGGAATCAGCAGTCAGAATACTTGCAGACTGATTGCTTCTATAACATTAAGCTTTCAGGTAACAGTGGCCAAGTGGCCTTGTAAAATAATAATTATAGTAATTATCACTTCTGAGCACAGATGCATTATCATGTACAATTTTGAGATGGAGTCTCATTCTGTTGCTGGGGCTGGACTGCAGTGGGTGGCATGATCTCAGCTCACTGCAACCTCTGCCTCCCAGACTCAATTCTTCTGCCTCAGCCTCCTGAGTAGCTGGGATTACAGGCATGAGCCGCCACTCTGACCATCGTTTACAGTCTTGAAAACAGTCAAATTAGGTTGGTATCATCAGCCCCATTGCATAGGAGAGATAAAGTCACTTGCCCAAGGCCACACAGCTGATAAGTGGTTGACCTGGAATTTTAAGCCTGTGGATATGCCTCCAAAGTCAGTGCACTGCGTGCTAAGCCCAGCTCTTTCAGACCAAAGCAATTCGCACCTGCCCTAAGATGCTTTCCTGTGTCCCCAGAAAGAGGCGTCCTTCCCACTTGTGCTTCTGTAGAAGTTGACAAAACACGTAGTTTGTTTCAACAAATGACACATAGACTGTAATCAAGGTGCGACTTGAACCCGGGAACCACAACCCTGTTCTCCAACTGATCTCAGGAAGGATCCTCTATTACCACACAACATTGCTGTCAACCCTCCTGACACTACTTTTGGCCAGCTTTCCTGATTTCCTCTACAATGGAAAGAATAATTTGGGCTGTGATGGCCAGAGATTGTTTGGGGAAGGGGCAATAATCTTAGAGAGGAGAGAGGGGGCTGTAAATTGCTTCAGATAATTCAAAAAGTCAGGGTCTGGTTGGACGTGGTGGCTCACACCTGTCATCTCAGACTTTGGGAGGCTGAGGTGGGCAGATCACTTGAGGTCAGGAGTTCGAGACCAGCCTGGCCAATGCAGTGAAACACTGTCTCCACTAAAAATACAAAAATTAGCCAGGCATGGTGGCAGGTACAGTCCACTGCTTGGGTCACCACTCTGCCACCTTCATTAGCTGTGATCTTAGGAGAGTGACTGCCCTTCTAATAATAGTCGGCACCAATAGTA